GGCTGGGACACTAACCAATGCAAAGTCCACTTTAATCATTGTAATGTCCAAAACAAAAAAAGGTTTTGGCTGGATCTGCATGTAAAAATGCATTTCCATATGGTGACCACACTGCTATGATTTTACCACAGTACTACATATTCAGGAAGTTGAAGATTCACAGATCTGCTGACAGGATCACCATCCTGTGTGATAGCAATACAGTTAAGTGAAAAAAATAAAATTAAATTGTTAAACAAATAATTAAATAAAAATGTTAAAAAAATAGGTAAAACAATAATAAGAAATAATTCAAATTAATATTATTATTATTATATAGTATTTATATAGCGCCAACAGTTTGTGCAGCGCTTTACAATATAAGGAAGACATTACAGTTACAATACAATTCAAGACAAGATGGTAAGGAGGGCCCTGCCCCTGAGGGCTTACAATCTAAAAGAGGAGGGGGAAATGATACATGAGGTAGCTGTGGTCTGGCCCTGGTCAGCACACGCTGTCTTCCAGCTCCTGAGTGTGCATAACATCATCAAATAACAGACCAAAGTAGTTGCTTATGTGCCTTTTAGGGGGCTTGTCATTTGGCACTGCTTCAACCACTCTGTGGACCATTTTCAGGTACTTAACAGGTCAGTAATTGTCTGACCTCTGTCAGTCAAGTTGGAGAGTCTGCTTCAGACATATCAATTAAGATAAATAACAGGAAGAAGCAAGGCTGGCCATTCCGCTTGTGTCCCTGACCTGTCTCCCCCTGAATTGAAGGGTCCCTGTCACCCTTGACCCAGCAGGACCCTATGGCTAACCTTCAATGCACTCACCCAGCACTGGTCGCCAAGACAACATAGGATGCCGACCCGCCCCCTCCGCATGTCTACCACACCCTGCAGGATCTGCGTAAGCTGATTGGCCGCGTTCGCTCACGTGTAAAGGACGGCCGAGTGCTGGAACGCAGGGCTGGAAAATGGGGGCTGACCGGTGGAACGCAAGAAGGCCTCCAGGGGGCGGAGACGGGGGCACGTGGTACACGGTGGCAGTCTGGACTCCTGGCGGGAACTGGAAAGCCGATGTTCTCGGTGATCGGGAAGTACTGGAGGGTATGGATATTCAACAATGCGCTATATGACATAGCAGTAGCAGACACATTTGTCATCATTTCCAGGGACAATGCGGCTGAGCTTGATTGTCATTCGGTATCAGGCTCAGTGTATTCTCTTAAGAACACATTGCATATACTGTAGTCATAATGCACTGTGATGAGGCCTATTGAAGGGACACGTTACCCTGTGCTAGAATATTAAATATATCTTAGGGGGTAAGGGAGATACTGCTGAGTCTGAGGTGACCCTGGAGAGAATATCAGGGTCCTGTCACCCCCTGACACTATGTTGGTGAAAATGCAGAGGGCCACCAACCGATGATAACGTCATTGGACCTCAGAGTTGGCTGTATTTGTGAGGATGTGTTAACCTGGTCAGAAAAGGGGTACTAGGCTGCCCTGGATCTGTGCCCGCTTGCACCCTGTGAAGGTTGGCAGCCTAATTCCTGACTGATTCTTTTTGTGTGTGTTTTTGGATACAGTGGCAATGAGCTACAATTTGTCCGTTTTTTTTCTCTATGGCTGACATTGGTGAGATATTTCCTCACTTCCTGTCACTGAGACCCCCTATACAAACAGTAGAATGTGGTTTTCTCTAGGACAAGAATGTCCACTTCCAACCAATCCCCCACTCCAGTAAAATGTTGTTTTTTTTTGCCTGCCATCCATTTGGCGGGCTTTTCCATCATAGCAAATGAGGGGAAAATAACCCCAAAAGGAACACATAGAGCTTGAAAAACCTGACAGTCTCTAATCTTCCCTACTCCATCCTAAGTAAAGCCATACATTTTGGCTGGAGATGGGCTTTAAGTCACTAACCAAGAACAACTATGCAAAGAAGAGCTTCTGGCCTGTTCTGAGTCAGTGACGTATTGAAGACAGAGGATCAGTCCAACAGCCAGGCAGGTAGCATTATCAGCTTCTTATCTGATGGGAGATGGTCCACACATTTGCAGTACAGGCGACATGCTTTATGTGTCAATACAATGCCGTCCCTAATGTTTTCCTCTTCTGTTCTGTGACAGTTGTAGCTGATCAGGATGGCTGAGAGACCGGAGGATCTCAATTTACCCAACGCCGTTGTCACCCGGATTATTAAAGACGCGGTAAGAAATCTCTTTTTTTTAATGTAGAATGTATATATTATACTGTTCAGAGAAAGATCACACTCCATGTGACTCCATCATGTCAGCGGTAGGGGTTGTTTCTATTGGTTGCCCACCAAGTAACACTGTTAAATGATATCCATTCAATCCATATGCAGAACTTTTTGTATTTTTGGAATACAGTAGGAAAGGGTTAAAGTGCAACTGAAGTCAAAGCATTTTTTTTTTTTTTAGTTTTGGATAGAGTGGAGAAGGATTAGAATACCTGATCAGCTTTGTATTGCTGTCTATGTTATGGAGATTCATCACCTCAATTGTTCTGGTGACTGTTATCACAGAGTAAAAGAAAATCCTACATTTTTGGGTGTCACCATAACAGAAGCAGATAGAAAATCGCCATTGGGGACACTAGTCCTGGCGACCCTGCTGACTACCAGAGAATCCCCTTTCTTTGGAGGCATTTCCGCTCGCATCCTGTTGTGGCTATTCGACCGGAAGTGAGGGGAAATCCCCCTAAAGGGACATGGATGACAAAAAAACACAGGTGTCGTCTTTTTATAAACCCCTTTACGCTATCCAAAACTAAAGTTCTACTTTAAGACCTGCCGGGATTATTTTTTTTTTGCGGTCTGTTCCATTGAGGGGATTTTCTGTCCTGGAGAGAGGAAAAAAAAAAGCAAGAGTGATGAATTCCCCTCTTAACCACTTGCTGACCGGGGTGTTAAACCCCCTTCCTGTCCAGTCCATTTTTCAGTATTCAGCGCTGCGGTACTTTGACTGACATTTATTCCGCCATGCAACGCTGTACTGAAATTAATGTTATACCCTTTTTTAGGGACAGATAGAGCTTTCTTTTGGTGGTATTTAATTACCACTGGGGGTTTTATTTTTTACTATATAATTAAAAAAGTACCAAAAATTTCCAGAAAATAAAAAATGTTCTCCCTACGTTATGTTCTAAAACATTTATTATTACCCAAATTTTTGGCAAAATATAAAAGACATGGTCACGTCGGGTAAATAGACACCAAACATGTCAAGCTTTAAAATTGCGTGCGTCCGCGAACTCGCAAAAACTACCATACCCAAAATTGGCCGTAGGCGACGTTTTAAAAGCTTTTACAGCTCATCAGTTTAGTGTTATCTGATTGATGGCCCTAGAATTATTGCTCTCACTGCGACGTTTGCAGCATATGTAATGTGCGGTGCAATGGATGTAATTGTCGTTTCCGTACGTAGGCGCACTCGACGCATGTTTGAATGCTTGTATGTTGGGGTCGGGGGACTTTAATTGTTTTAAAAATTTTTTATTACCTTTTATATGTGACTTAATTTTTTAATATTTTTTTTGGAACTAATTCTTTTAAACCCTTTTTTTTTTTTTTTCACTTTATTGCTCTTACATAGGGGACTAACAAGCCCCCTTTGTGATAGCCAATTTTCAGTGACAGGTCCTCTTCATGGAGACATTAGGGGTCTTTAAGACCCCTAATGTCACCTAGGGACTCCCAGAGAAGCTGATGAAGCACACACCTGCTTCACCAGCTTCGCTCCGGTTTCTGTACCGGAGAGTGACAGGGGAATGCAGAAGTCATGTAATACACGTCACTTCCTGCATTCAGAAGAGGAGATCAAACGGAGATCGATCGATCGTGTACTGATCTCCAACCGCAGAGCTGCTGTGCTGGTCCCGAGCTCACACCAGGCAAAATGGAGGGGGGGGCACGCCCGCACGCATATTACAAGCGTTCGGGCGTCATTCCAGGCTGATTTCCCGCTCGCGCGTGCCACCTGGTGGCGGGCACGAGCGGGGCGGGATGGAACGTTTAGAAACGCCCACCCGCATTTAAGAAGCCGCTGTCCGGCCGTTAAATTACAACGGCCGGACAGCAGGTGGTTAAACAGTTCTTAGCTTAAAAGTTGTCCCCGATGGAAGATTTCCCCTTCGTAATTTTTCCAGTTAGAACTCTAACATTTTCTCTCCTGGTGAAAATGGTGATTAGGACAAATCGAGAGCGTAACCTTCCTATTTAGTATGCAGACCATAATAAAATAAATATCAAAGTGGGTCTGACCAATCCTAATTCTGTCCAGAAAAAGTTTTAGGTGTAGATATATACTTTTTCTATTGTTTGACTTCTGATCCCATCCAAGTACACTAACAGCATGATATGAATATAAAGGTACCACAATGATCATTTTCCTATAAAATGCACATCGGCAATGAAAGGGTCACATCAATGACAGAGATCATTTCTCCATAAGTGAATTTATCTTTTCTTTAAAGAGACCCTGTCACTGTACCCATTCAGAACAAAGTTACAGCGTCAGTGGAAAGCCGCCTCAGGCCTCATTCACACAAGCTTTTATGGAAGGCCAGTGGTTCTGGACAGCTGCCACTCAGCCTGTATGGAGCAGTGACAGGTAACTAGAGCTGAAGCAATGTTTGCATATATCCTCACATTAGTGTGTACTTGTGACTAGTGACAGATTGGCCCTGGATGCAGTCTGTCTGCGTCCAGGGCTGGCCATCTGTCCGTAGATGTGGGTAACTGCTGTGACTTCTGTCATGGCTTTGCACAGGCAGAGTGTCCGCAGCTGTCTGGACCCCCCCGTCCTTTTAACCGCAAGAATACGCAGATTGTCGCCAATTTAAAATCCCGTGTGAATGAGTCCTCGCACCCCCTTTTACTCTTTCTCACTTCCCTGTCTCTTTTGTTGTAGCTGCCACCAAAATACCCCATGGCAGAGCCTAGTGGTGGGAATCATGACCTCACCCCCATCGTCATGTCGTAGTACTTGGGCCTAATGATTTGGCTGCTAGGCCCGTGCTCTGCGTTGGGAAAGTATTTCATATAAGAAGTTACACAAACATCACAGCATTGGATATGAACTCTGTGCTTGGCACGTATTTATAAGGGATTATTTACAGTGCACTGAAAAGGCCAACAATTCTGATGAGTAGCAAAGTGAGCTGTTTAGCAGCTTCGCGGCACCAGGGCCCTGGAGACCCAGAACTGTCAAGTGTATGGAGGTGACCGTCATTCTGGTTTATGTGTTTGCAGTTACCAGAGGGTGTAAATGTGTCCAAAGAAGCGCGCAGTGCGATCTCACGGGCAGCCAGTGTCTTTGTTCTTTATGCAACATCCTGGTAAGTATCAATTGTTGTCGGTTTTTGGAGGGATTTTTGTGTGCTTGTGTAAGTAGGGATGAGCTCGGGAGTTTCTCTAAACCTAAGAGGAAGCTCCTTCTGCTGCCACCCAGTCAGTTGTGGCCGGGGGGAAGCCCTGCATCTGCACGTATACAAAGGGGTGGAATGCTGTGACATCATTGACCTCCTATGGCCCCCATGGCTATATTTGGTCAATTACATTTTCCTATGTTGACCATATAAAGTCAGTGATGTCAGTGCAAGCATCCCACCACTTTGCATCAGGCGGTGGGGAACGCCCTGACCCTTCTAGGTTAGGAGGAGCCCCATGTCCCTTCCAGGTTAGGAGGAGCTCAGGTTTGGAGTTGGTTTGTTCTGAATCTGAGCTCATCTCTACTTGTAAGAGAAACATTTGTAGTTTTTCTTGTAATTTGTCCTAAGCTTTGTGTCAGAAAAGGATAATTACAACTGATGTCTACTGTGACACTCAAAGTCCATTTTAGGTCATTCGTTTGGTGCAAATGAACTACTGATCATCCATTTCTTTAACGTCCGTTGAGATTTAATGTGTCCCTGTCACGTATATAAATTGTCTGACCTCTGCTCCCCATCCCTCTCCCAGCAAATCCAGTTCAAAGACAACTGCATTGGCAAATAAAATGGAAGAAGCCTGTCTTATACATTCCTGATACAGTCTGCACTGCCAAGGTAGTGAACTGCACTTTGGCATTTGCTGTTTTCTTCCAGGGGTGGTCTGGTCCACCTTCTACTCATGCTCCAGTTATCTAGATCCAGTAGAAGCAGCCGTGTTGTGATGACATAATAAAGTTACTAATACCTCTAGTGATATGATTGGCTGCCCTCCCAATGATTGAGTTGGTAATGGGAATATGTGACTTTGATACATTCCATTGTTTTCTTTAGCGCTAACAATTTTGCAATGAAACAGAAGAGGAAAACCCTGAATGTGTCTGATGTGATATCAGCCATGGAGGAGATGGAGTTCCAGCGTTTCCTGGGTCCCCTGAAAGAGGCTCTAGAGGGTAAGGGTTCTGTTTTCATTAGAGATTTTGAAACCTGCATTAATTTTTTGGCAACCACTGTTTGGGTAGCTCTGGCTTAAAGTGACTGTGTCAGGACAGGGTCACTTTGACTGTGTCAGGACAGGGTCACTTGTGTATAAAATATACCTGCAAATAGAAGACTGCATATACAGCCCATTTCTTGAAGAGCTTCTCTGCTCACTATGCTCTGCAAGTATTCGATGGGGTGAAATAATTGCTTCCATTGCCACTTGCTATCGATTCTCCCATTGGCTTGTGCATTGCTACAGGACATATGAGCTGGCAGGAGGACCACAGCAATCTGTGAGGGGGATCTGGTTATTCACACACCTGGATGTTGAGCAGCAAAGCGGTGGCTTTTCAGGAACCTGGCTGCCATAATTTATATATTTTAGTATTCTATGTGCAGATATTTTTTTTCATACAAGTATCCCTGCTCTTACAGGGTCACTTTAAGGCAAACAGCAGTAGATGCAGCAATAAAAGCTGCTGAAGTCACGTTCAGATTTCACTTTTATCACATTAGCGTCCTGAGCAATTTTTTTGTGTTGCAATATATTTATCAAGTCAATATTTTTAGTAAAATGACACTAAGATGAATTTTGGTGCACACAAACTGTCTATAATCCGCAATTGTTTTGGTAACGTCCGCGACGTCACCGGACTCCTCCCCCCTTCCCTTCGTTAGCCGACGGAGCCACTTGGGCTGGTGAGTTTGCCCAAGAAGTAAACGTGTAAGATGCTTCCACCAAGTGTATTCATTTCTTTATTAACAACACAGTACTTAATTGTTTTTGGTCATGATGATTGTGAATAATTACCTCCGGTGTGCAGGCACAGAGCTCAGTTAAGTGCCCCGACTCTACACAGCTTTAAAAGGAATCTGTCACCAAGAATCCGGGGACTGAACATGCACCAGTGCAATCATTAAATAAAGTAACATGTTTTTACTGAGTCTCCCAGCACACAGATAATGTTACGACATAATACTTAATTCATACTGGCCTCAATCATTTTAAGTAATTATCTGCAATACACAGGCCCAGAAAAGTGTCCAATGTAGTTGGATCTGTATGTGCGTTATAATTAATCGATTAAAAAACATTTCGATTAATCGAACACGGAAATTTGAATCAGTAACAGCTTTAATATCTACTGCTAGCAAGCAGTAGATATATGCAAAAAGTTTTTTTTTTGTTTTTTTAAACTGCATTAACAGCGGTTTAAACTTACCCCGTTTTGGCCGCGCTGCTCCGAAACTGCTCGGATTTTCAGCCGGAAGACGAGCAGAGACGCAAGGTAAGTCTATGGACGCGTGCACCCGCATGCAGACAGCGCGGGTTCGGAAGTGCCAGCAAGGACAGAGGAGTCCGCGCTGGATCGGAGAGCCACCGCACCGCTGGAGGGACAGATGAAAACATCAGGAAAGAAGAGGAAGATCGGATTAAGATACATAATTTAAGGTAAGTGCTAACATTAACATTGGGGGGAGGGAAACATTTTTTTGACTAATGTCACTTTGAGAGAGAAGGGGAGAACATTCTAGTTGGGTAAAAAGTGCAAATTTGATTCTGTAACTTGTCCTTTTTTATAATGATACATTTCTGCTACAAAACATGACAAGTTATTTACAAATAAGGCAAAGGCTTTTCTTTTTTGTGCAATGTTACACAAGAAAACCAGCAAGAGAAACAAAAATGTCAACATTTATGTATGAATGGTAAAAATATAACATTTACTAAAAATAACAACTTACCTTTCCTGCAGCTTACAGAAAAGAACAGAAGGAAAAGAAAGAATCCTCAGACCTGAAGAAAAAGGACAAAGATAAGAAAGTAGACGGTGAGGAGGACAAAAGCCGAGAGGATGAGAATGAAGATGAGGAGGAAATAATGGAAGAGGATGAAGTGATAGAAGATGAAGAAGTGGATAACTGACCAATCTTCTGTATAGGATTCTGGTGTCAGTTTTGTGGCACTTTGTGTGGATGGATTGTTTGGTCTTCATGACTATCTGGTGGTTCTCCAGCCTAAAAAATTCCTACAAGACTATTTTAGTGAGCTGGTCATGAGGGTCGTCCTATAGTTGGAAATGTGTTCTAATATCAGCAAAATGATTTCCTGCACAGAGACTGATGGAACATATATTATTGGTGTTTTTTTTCTTAGACTTGATAATAATGTTTTTTTTTCTAACTGGTAGCTTCTGAGTCATTACTACTGTTACGGAACCCATAGGGTTGGCTCTTCTGACGTCATTGCCAAATAGCTGTTCGAGTAAAGCCACCAAGTGATATCACTGTTCGGCTGTTTCTGGTGGAGTGCCATCTGGTCATTGAAACCCCTTTGACTAAGCAGTCCAGGCCTTGGTGCTGCGAGGTGGCTGTGGACGATATCTGCACAAATGTTTATCAAATCAATATTTTTAGGAACTAATACACTAAAATGAATTTTAGTGCACACATAGAATACAATAGCAATTTTTTTTGTAAACTATAAAAGATGAGGTTGAGTTGGCTAAATACATTCCAAACCCTACCCGTGAAATGACAGCAAACTACGGTACCCAAAATTGCCCGTAGGCAATGCCTAAAAAATGTTTACCTGTAAATTAATGAGCAGTAATGGGATGATGGCAATGAGATCACAGCTACTGCAGCTCGGGTGCATTGAATGTTGGGTTTTGTAGTGCACAGGATTGTACTGCTTCTTCTGTATCACTTCCTCCACAGACGCCAGGTTGGTCACTTCGTGATGAAGCAGAACTAAACCTACCAACTGCGCTGTTTGAAGGCATGGCATGTCTCTGGTGATAACTGTCACAGTTTCTTTTGGCTTATGTCATCTGTCAACTGAACTTTCAAGCCCTCAAATGGCTGATTTCATAGCAGGTCACCAAGGCAACTACAACCCAAATAGAGGCTAAGATGGCACTGTCTTCAGCTGTACCGGATAGCAGGGTTTAGGTCTACTTTAGAGGGTTAGTGAGAGCTTCCAATCTAAAAGGCTAGTGATACAGAAGCTGTAGCTGTGTGGGGAAGAGTTGGGCAGAAGCAGGTTGGATTTCTCTGAAGAGATGAGTTTTCAGGGATCACCTAAAGGGAGACAGGGTAAGAGAGGTACAGCTGGCCATACACTGTGCGAGTTGATGAACTTTCCAAAATTCATGCAGTGGGTGGCCCAGAAGGGGGGCGTTCTGTCCCGTATTCTTCAATCAGAAAATCGAAGGAGGCGGATGGCAATTTGGGGGGCGTCCTCACTTTTTGGGTATTCTGACAATGGCGAGTGTGCTGCTGTCAAAATACAACAGTCTAGTGGGATATTCGTCCATCCGTGCTGTTTAGCGTGGATGAAGGAATACTTTTATGCATTCAGCCGCAGGTTGAATGAAAAAAAAACAGTGTATGGCAGCTTTAATTTATGTGTCACCTGCAATTTACCTCTTAAAAGACCATTCATCTTTTTTGTTGCAGTCAAACAAAGAGAAGACTGGAGGACTGAAATGGCAAAAACTACAATTAAAAGTTAACAAAAAAATTAAAAAAATGTGTGTTGCTGTGCATGCTGCAATGCAGATGCATTCAGGTACCATTTGAAATGAATGGCACTGATGGTGCCAGGCTTGTAATATTTTGGCCAAATGCATATGGTGAAGAGGAGTATAACAGTATCATTTTTTTTTTTTTTTTAAGGCTGCTGATGTTTGGGGATATAAGCACATATGGTGAGCCCTTTAAAGAAGCAGTGCACTCGTAATAGCTTCTTTTTAAGCGCCTGGTAGCCCACTATTATTTAAATGAAAGTGCACACATCCACATTGGATATTTTAGCTCTAACCAAGTGACCCTTCCATAATGGGGACAGATTCTCTGAGCTAAACACCGTGTTCTACACAAAGTGTGCAGCATTGATTGGTGGGTATGATGGTGCGTGTTCATGGTTTTATCACATCATGGCTGACACCAGAGTTCTGCTCTGATCGATATTTGATTAGTGAAGTATATTCATTCAAGGCTGACGTCCCAACATATGTCATTAGTATTGGCACAGGGTGCAAATGCCCTACTGCAAACCCTCACCCAGCCCAGTCCTCTCCGGATACCAGTTTTTAGGTTCACTTACCTTTTAAATGGCTAACTTGACACGCAATCTCCAAGTTATTTTAAGTATGTAATGCTATCAAATAACATGCCCACAGATATAAAGTAGTATTAAACTCTCAGCCATTTTTTCAATATTGAATCCATATCAAGTCCATCATCCAGCAAAGAGTTTCTTTACATTGTGCCCAAGCACTTAGTCATTGGACCTTGCAAGGGAAATGAGCCGCCCTAAAAGAAGATATCAGGGCTAGGGCTGCAACAACTAATCGATTATAATCGATAATGAGAATCGCTGGCAACGTTTCTCATCAACGATTAGTTGCCGCCGCTCTGCTCCTCAGTTGTTCCTGCTGGTGCTGCCTGCAACAGTCTATGTCCCTTTCAATCCCAACTGCTCTCCCCGCATGTATCGGCAGATGCAGCGTGGACACAGACCACTGCAGCCAGCGAGGAGGAGAGACCGCTGTGACTGCATTCCCCAGCGCCCCCCCCCCTTCCCCAAATACCTTTGCTGCTGCCTCCCCGTACCTTTGCTGCTGCCCCGGTCCTTCTCTGCCTCCGCTGCTGCCTCGTGTCTCCTCTGGCCTGGCCTCTTCCTCCTCTGCCATACCCTGTTCCTCAGCCACGCCTTGTTCTGCCCGGCCTCCCTGCCGCTCCGTTCCTCCTCTGCATCTAGAGCCTGGGAGCCATACCCAGCCTACAATTGGATATTTTAAAATTAAACTAAACCGAATTGGAAAAAAAAAGTTAAATAAAAATGCAAACAACCCAAAAAAAACTTTAAACTAAAATTAAAAATAGAAAAAAAAATGTTTTTGGTGTGTTATATTAAATAAAATGTTGGTTATTTTATGATATTGGCTTAGAGTTTTACAATTCACATGATTTTAAAGCCATGAAACGAATTAAAATGTCTAATATAATACACGCAAATATTAAACAAAACAAAAAAATATATATGTGGAAAAAGTCATTTTCCTTTCTGGCCTGACAAAGTTTGCTGCAGAAGGTGCATTGCAGTGACATTCAAATGAAATGGATACCAAATGCACCTCCTGCCTGCACTGGAACGTGCGGTACTGCAATGCCCTGCGTTCCAGTGCAGTGTGATTTTTAAAAAATGTGCATACCGTTCTATTCTGAAGTAAACTTTGTGTGTAACGCTATGTTTGTGTATTCTATTTTCAATAAATGACGGTATTAATTATTTTTTTAATTTTATCCGATTAATCGAAGTTATTAATCGGTTAACTAACTGATTATGAAAGTAATCGTTAGCTGCAGCTCTAATCAGGGGCAGTGCTTAGAGAACCAGCTGATTCTGCAGGAAACTAAAACTTTTAAACATCAAGTAGTAGCGTCCATTGTAAGAGATGTAAATAGCTTAAAAATCTTTAGACTTTAAAAGAAATGAAGGCAACCACAGAGCTTGTTCTGCTCTCTTAGGAGACAGTGTGTAAGGTCAGGCAGTTAATAGCAGCAACTGTCAGGTGACCACCCACCCCTGACACTCCACCAAAGTTTCATGCTCAGATAAAGTAGGGATGAAAACATTGGTAAATTATGCATATTTAATAAGAAAGTCTGCACTGTTAAAATCATTTAGGTCTAAATGTTTAGAGTTCTGCCATGACAGGTTCTCTAAAATGTTCTTTTTATACTTTTGTTATGAATGTTTTTCTCTGACTGCGTGAGAAGCAAAGCAAAGAAGTGTAAGTTTACACTTGCCTAATCGGGAGTGAAAGCTCAGCTTGGCAGCCTGGCACAGCAGACTTGTCTTTTGCCTAAACATCAATTTCCATTATCTTAGCATTCACACCAAACCGACCAGACAAAATTAAGCATGATTTGTTTTTCATTCCATAACTTGGTCAGCAAATTCCTAATATGTTTACACATTCAGAGATTCCATTCCACTGGGTGAGTTCAGGCCATATTGCCCATTCTACAGTACTCTGGCAGGCAGAGACACTGGTGCAGGGCAGATCCAGACTGTTTGCCTCCATAAAGGGTAAATTAAGTTAGAGGTGACATTTTAGTTGAGACTCAAAGTTCATAAAAAATGCATTGCTTAAAAATCCTTATAAATGTCTTGTCCTCGTATGAGTGATATTCACCTCTTAGTTCCAACAGATGCCGTGTTTCCCCGAAAGTAAGACCTACCCAGAAAATAAGACCTAGCGCTATCTTCAGGGATTTCTGTAATATAAGACCTACCCCGAAAATAAAACCTAGTTCGGTGGTAGGTCTTATATTACAGAAATCCGCTAGGTCTTACTTTCGGGGTAGCTGCACATATAATAGAATTTTACATGACCGGCCGCAGCTCCCGCCCCCCCGCCTACACCCACACCCACCTGTCTGCCTCGGCTGCCGCTGAAGACTACATTTCCAAGCAGGCACAGCGCGGCATAGCCAGTGGGGTCGAAGTGGACGGCATCAGAGCGGACAGCTGCAGCCAGGTAAATATAAGACATCCCCCGAAAATAAGACCTAGTGTCTTTTTTCATTGAAAACAAAATATAAGACAGTGTACAGTGTCATATTTTCGGGAAACACGGTGTGTATACAGTTATGTGAAAAAGGTAAGTACACCTCATGGTGTACTTAGATCTTCATCCAAACAGTGGCTACAAATAAAGGTTGTATACAGTACTTGAACAAGTGACACATAAAATGTAGATGGTGTATTCATTTTCATCATCTAAATTAAGAAAAATGTAATGGAAAAAGTAAGTACACCCCAGTATTTACCTTCAAATCCATGAAATTTGAATCCGGTGTTCCAGATTAGGTGCCAATGATTAAAACCTCCTTGGGAATTTTGCAAGTTGATCCTGTCTTATTTAAATCTCAGCTATTTAGGGTCTGGTGTTTTCTTTGCGATAGACATATGTTGCTATCATCATAA